GGATTGGGGGCACCTAGGATGCCACAGCATGGATTCAGACGCCTGGGGAGTCATCCCCCAGGGATGTGGGTGTTCTCAGGGGTTGGCAGAAGTGTGTGAGCCCCCACACTCACAGCCAGCTCCTGCCCCTCCAGTTGGGAGGGTCCCTGTCTGCTGGCACTCTCCAGCAGAAGCCCAGCTTTGCAGCGTGGCTGTAGAGGAACTAATAATTTTAGCAATTTGGAGTGTCCCTTAACTCTTCAGTGCCGCTGGAGAAACAGGGTGAACCCTTCTGCTTCCTGCCCGCTTGCATTTTTCCTCCCCAACCCATTTCTCACCTTAGCGAATACTGTCAAATCTGGGGGGGTCCCAGAAGCCCCAGTGGTGCAGCCCTCCCTCCCTCCACCAGTCCCCCTGGTCCCAGAGTCGGGACTGAGCTGACTGCGGGCAGAGGCTGGGTGCAGGCAGAGGCTGGGGGCAGGCAGAAGCCTGGCAGCACTGCCCTGCCCTGTGGCAGTGCCATGTGGAGCTGCGTGGGACGCGTGTCACCACTGCCAGCGTGGGGGAAGCCCTGCCTTGTTTCGCAGGTTTTGCCATCCGGTGCCTGTGTGTCCACACCCTGACACAGCATGGGCTGGGTTTGGGAAGTGAAGCAGGGGCTGTTCTGCATGTGCTTGCTCCGGAGCAACCTCATCCCCAGGCACTGCAGCCCCAAGCTGCACCTTGTTATCTGTCCTGGCATATTTTTGACTGCTGTTGTTACCCTGTATCCCCACGAGCACATTCCCCACCCCAGCCCCTCTGCTGCAGTTTGTTCCTGCAGAGTCCTGGCAGCGCTGCATGTGTCAGCATGGGAGCAGGGTGAGTTTATTCCTTCCTGCTCTTCCCCAGACCCCTCTCAGCCTCAGCATCCATCTCTTGCTGGCTCTTGGCAGGCAGCGCATCCCTGTCTACTGGGCCCTGGGATCTCCCATCCTTTCTCCTCTCCCTTTGCCTTCTGCTCTCTGCCCCCTGTCCGGCCCCTCCAGGTCCTGCTCTGCTGTTCATCTTCTCTCTGCGGGATGAGCTTCCCTCCCTTTCCTCTGCCTTTGGGATGCCACTGGCTCTCTTCACCCCCCAGAGCAGCAGCCCCCTCCTCAACACCTCATCAGTGACCATCCTGCTGTGCAGCTTCTCCCCACCACGCTGGGGAGAACTGGAGGTCTGAGGGATGGGGGTCTCATCCTGGTGGGCATTTTCCCAGTGATGCTGAGCCCACAGCATGCAGCGCTGAGGTTTCCTGCAGCACCTGTGCCTGCCCCACACTGAGGGTGGGGGACCTGAGGTCACTGCCCTGTGCTGTCCTGGGGGTGCTGGCAGGGGTGCAGTGAGGGTTAACTCCACTGCCGGCCTCCTTGGGTTTGTGCTCCAGGTCTCTTCTTGCTGTCACCTCACCCAGCTGTGAGCTTGGGTGGGAGATGTCACCCCTGTGAGTCCGAGCACTCCTCACAGCCCTGCTGCTGCAGCCCCCACCTTGCTGGGACAGAACTGTGGCACTGCCAGTACCTGGGCTCCAGAAAGGGTCCCTGGGCTCCAGGCAGGGCCAGCGAGGGTCTGGCAGGGACAGGCAACAGCAGGAGCAGACACAGGCGCTGTCCCAGGGCAGAAGGGCTGGAGCAGCCCCAAGATGCCCTTGGCACGGTTCTGCCAGCGATGCCCTGGCAGGGGCCTTGTCTGCACCACAGCCTCCCGGCTCCAGCGGTTCCTGATCCCTGGGATGCGCTCCTGGGGCAGCTGCTGCCCCATGGCCTTCCTGGAGCCGCTGCCAGGACACGGCTGCAGCCAAAACCATGCTCATGTTCTGCCAAGGCACTGCTTCCTGGAGCGTTTTGGCTGGAGCTGGGATGGTGCTCCTGGAGAGGTCCTCCCTGTGCTCCCTGAGCTGAGGAGACCCTCAAGGCCCTGGTTCCTGTCCTATGAGCACCCTCAGAGCAGCCTGCACCCAGGCAAGGTGCAGGATGATCTGAGCAGGGCTGCGTGGCTCAGCCCTGCGTCCCTCACCCAGCATTGCTGCCTCTGGGCACTGCTCCGTTGCCACCCCAGCCCTGCACCCCCTTCCTTTGATCCTTTCCTCTCTGCTGCTGTTTTCCAACTCTGCCACCGCTGACACCAGTGACCGTGGGCACCCCATGACTGCTCAATTCCTCAGCAGAGCCAGGGAGCTGGCTGCTGCCCCATGGGCACAGCTCCCCCAAAATGTTTTTGGCTCCTATGGAGAAATAACCCCATGATGGGGACAGTGCAGGGACACAGCCAGCAAACAAAACTCTGCTGGGATGTGTGAGCCCACGCACCAAGGGAGAGCAGAGCATCCCCGGGCTGGGCAGGGATGCTTTGCCCCCGACCCTGCGATGTGGCTAGGAGGGAGATGAGGGGTTCCCCAAGATCGGGTGGGTGAGGGCAGGGGTCCCTTGGCTCCATGACTCCCAGGGGACCCCTGCGTTGCATCCTCCCTCTCCGGCGGGCAATGGCTGCTCGCAGACAAAGCTGAATCCGCAGCACAAAGCGCGAGGCCAGAGATTGGCTCCTGTTTTACGTCACCGGGGAGGAACGAATGGCAGCATCAAGATTTTTTTTTATTTTTTATTTTTTTTCCCCCTCTTTTCTTCCCTTCATTTGAATTCTCTTGCAATCTTTGTCCAAAAATAAACCGAGCTTCCTCCCTCGGGAATGCTCCGCAGCAGAGCCTTGGCTCCTTCGCCCCCCTGCGCATTAGCCTGGCAGCTGCTAAACGAAGCCATTACCTGGTGTCGCATCGTAACCTTTTCTAAAAGCCCATTTGCAGAGCGCAGGGTTATTTTATCATTTCGTATGGGGAGGTGCAGGGATGCACAGGGAGCACTGGGAGTGGCAGGGCTATGGATGCCCCAGGAGTGGGCATTTCCCAGGGTGCTGGCGGAACTGTGCGCTCCGTTCCTCCCCATCACTGGGACATGGTAGGGCTTGGATGGCTGCTGGGAGCTGTCTGGGGTGCACAGTGAGCCCCTGCTGGAGCAGCAAAGCCCAGAGAGGCTCCTGGACACAGTGGGAGGGATTTTGCCCACCCAGCCCCAAGGTTTTTCCCACCTCAGGCAGGACTCAGACCCACCACACACATCCCCGATGAGGCATCAATGCTTGGGGAAGGGGGACAGCGGGTGCAGGGGCAGCTGGCGCTGGCTCCCATGGGGCGTCCCACATTGGAGAGTTGTCCCCAGGGTTTGGCCAGCTCCATCCCATGGGAACAGGGGGACACTATGAGGTGACCACTGGAAACCACCGTCCCACAGGGAGGTGTGCGATGTGCCCGGTACTCACCCGCTGCAGCCCCCATGCCCATGCAGCAGCCAGACCACAGACCTGCCTGTGGTCCGAGTCTCTGCAAACGTATTTCAGACACTTAAAAATACAGAACAATTGGTACTGAGGTTATACTGAATGCTAGAGCTTCCCACGGAAGTACTTTATCATGTTCAAAAATATTTAATCCCAGCAATTTTCACATTGTTCTTATAAAAACAGACATGTATGAAGGGAAATGAAATGCTTAGTACATTTTTGGCACATTTTTTTTCTATTTTTTTCTTTTTTTTTTTAACCTTTACAAATTACAAACACACATTCATTGTTTTTAAAGGAAAAAAAAAACCCTAAGTCTCAGCTGTACACTGCAGAGATGCACAAACCATCCCAAAACTAAACCAGCCTCCCATGGTTACAATTGCAGTTCTACAAGGACTAAAGAAAGACACCAGCAGCCAAGGACACCTTGATGGCTTCACTGCCCTCCCCAGGGTATGGGAGGCTGGGGAGGAGATGGCCCTTTGGGGTCCATGTCCCCGCGGACAAGGGACAGCCGGGGCCTGGCTCTGGCAGGGATGAAGGCAGAAGAGGAGCTCAGGGGATGCTGAGGTGTGAACTGGGGTTCAGCTTTTTTGGGGCTGATTTCTGCCTGTTCTGCTCCCCACGGATTGACCTGTGCCGGAGCCTGGCCCTGCTGCCTGCCCACCTTTCCTTCCTCAATAAACCTCCACCTCTGTCCCCTGCCCCTCTCTATCGCCTGCCCCGCTGCAAGCACAAGGTGCCAACCCCAGGGCTGCGGGTGGGAGACCCACAGGCGTCCGGGTGGGAGATCCATGGGGGTCTGGGTGGGCTGTGCTGCCTTAATCACCACAGGGAAGCTGCACAGCTGTAGCGGGGAGCTTGGCCCATTCTGCTAACCCTGAGATGCTACTGGGGGACAAGGGGTGACCACCGGCTGTTAGTGGGACCGGGGTTTTGCTGGCGAGGGTCATGGTGGGTGTTATTCGAGAGGAACAACTGGAACAACTGGTGTGAGCAAAGAGGCAGCGCTGCGGAGCTCCCCTTCGCTGCAAGGGGCTGCTGGGAGGCTGCTGGGGGGCACTGGTTAATGCTTCTCCACAGAGCTGTGAGTCCTGACTCGCCACCTCTCCAGCAGCCAAAGCAAAGCAGGGAAAGCAAGCGGTGTGTGCCTCGTCCAGGCCATCCCCTGCTCCCCAGCACGGCAAGCAGGGTTCTGCACCAGCCGCCCCCTTTCCTGAGCCATGCAGCAAGGACGGTCCCTGCGTCGGTGGCATACAAGCCCCCCATTGCAGGTCCCACAGGGGGGAGCTGGGAGCTGCGGGATGGGGACCCCACAGCAAAGCCTGCGCCTACCTCGGCTCCCAGCAATCAACCGCAGGCGCTTGCAATGGAGACGTTTTTAATTTTTAACAACATCAGAATGGCAGAAATTTCCTGAGCCATGCAGCAAGGACGGTCCCTGCGTCGGTGGCATACAAGCCCCCCATTGCAGGTCCCACAGGGGGGAGCTGGGAGCTGCGGGATGGGGACCCCACAGCAAAGCCTGCGCCTACCTCGGCTCCCAGCAATCAACCGCAGGCGCTTGCAATGGAGACGTTTTTAATTTTTAACAACATCAGAATGGCAGAAATCGCCCTGCACGTGTGTGGGGGGTGCTGGGGTGGGGGGACAGCGGGTGCCCCCTGTGCCACCTTGGCCTTGCCAGGACCCGGCTCTGCCCCGGCTCCCGCTGCTGCCTGCGCCCGGGGCTCCGCAGCACACCTATCGCAGTTTAAATAGAATAAATACAGTGAAGAAAACAGTAAAATCTTCAATAAAGAGGCAAAAAGGAAAGACAACAGCAGGTCCAGGGGTCCAACCAAACTCCACGTGGTCTCTGGATTAGTTACTGAGGAAGGTCTATGAGAGCACATTAAGTTGGCAGCCGGAGACTCTCTTACCGCTGTCCTTATATTGACACCTCGTATTCCCTGGTTTCCTGAATGGGAGGAAAAGCCAGTTGAGGGCAGCAGCTCCATTTCAGTATTATCTCCCCATTCCCAGCAGCCAGAGAGGCCCTGGGTGCCGTTTCGCTTCCGGCAAAACATGTGCCTCCCCTCCGGGAGGGTCCCAGGAGGAAGGGGCGCAGCAGGACTCACCCCTGTCTCATAAATCGGGTTGTCGAACTCCGTTTCTACCGTGATCTGGCTGTAGGGGTGGGAGTACATGAGGGGCAGGCGGAGGCTGGAGTAGTACCGACACCTGCGGGGGACACGCGAGGGTCACCGAGCTGCACGGCATCACCCTGGAGCAAAGCACGGCCAGCCCCATCCCCTCATGTCCCCCCATCCCAGGGACTCCAGAGTGGGACCTCAGTGCCCAGCACCCCAGGACCATGCATGGGGATGTGTGGCACAACGATGCTGAGCCCCATGATGATGCTGAGCCCCCCGGCCCGGCTGAATGCCCCACCTCGTGAGATAGATGTACGCTCCTCCCAGCAGCAAGGAGATGATCAGCACCGGGATGAATATGGCTAAGGCCATATTTCCCCCCTCCAGTGACGTCTCTGCAGCAGCTTCTGCTACTAAAAGGATGAGGTCTATTATGGTGGTGTTTGCAAGCACCTTGTGACCCACCTCTGCCTCTCCACTCTCTCTTTCCGGGCCCCGCATAGGCTCTGGCCAAGGGCAAATGCATCGCTACTCACCTTCCAGCGCGTGTTCAAAGCTGTCCTGATTCACTGGAAGAGAAATGCAGAGTTACTGGTATGTAACTGGGGCTGACTGGGTGCTGGCGGCTGCTGGGGAGCCCAGTCTGGGGTCTCCCTGCCCTGTTTGGGCCCAAGCCATGCTACAAACTTTAGTTTTTGAATAAGCTCTCAGTCTCTGTAAGCCCATGCATGGGACTGAGCAGGCTGTTTAGCTCCTGGCTAGAGAACCGCTGGGGTCTGCCACCAGATGAAGGTCCCCATGTTGTCCCAGGCTGGGGACAGAGGCGTTGGCTGTCCCAGTGCCCCCCCCAGCCACCCCCCCACCATTACCTTTGCAGATGGGCAGGGGACCGCTCCAGTGGGATGGCTGGCCCAGGATACATTTGATGGTGACTTCCCCCATGAGCTCAAAGCCCTCGTAGCACATGAAGGTCAGGGACTCTCCTGGCAAGTAGAGGCGCTTATAAAGGATTTGGTAGCCGTTTTCTGGCAGCCCTGGGTTATCGCAGGCCAGCGACTCCTCGGCTGAAAGGGAACACATCCCGGGGTGAGCCCAAGGGCTTGGGCTGCCAAGGGAGAAAAGGCAGCAGGAAAGCACCCAAGATCTTGCCCCATCCTGCTCTTGGGTAACCCAAAGCTCTGCACCACCCTGCATGTCTGGGGAAGGCTTCGGATGCAGTAAAGGACTTCCCAGGACCCCCCGAGCGGGGCAGCGGGAGGAACTGCCCGAACTTACAGACGCAGTGCGGGAGTCGTGAGGTCCAGATGGGCGTCCCGGTCTCACGGCTGTAGCAGGTCAGCAGCGAGCTGCCCTCCAGCACGAAGCCGGGGTTGCAGGTGTACTGGATGGTGGTCCCCACCAGCAGCACCGGGTCAGAGATGAGGCGGGTCGAGTGCTCCACTTCCCCCGGGTCCGTGCAGTACATAACTGGGGGAGAGAGGGGCACCGGCAGCCGTCACGGCGCGGGGGATGCGGCTGCGCCGGGGACTGCGACGCGGCGCTGGGGGCACTCACTCTTTTCGCAGAAGGGGGGGTCGCTGCTCCAGCTGAGGTCCCACTGGCAGGTGAGGGTGTCACTGCCCACGATGTCGTAGCCCGGGTCGCACTGATAGGTGATCTTGGCCCCTCTCACCAGCTCCGTGTGCGACGTGGTCTTCCAGCCGTTCTGGATCTCGGGCAGGTCGGAGCAGGAGTCGTTGCGGGACACCTCTGCAGGCGAGGGAGATACTGGCTGTCACCCCCCTAGCGGGACCCCTGCGGCATAGCCCTCCTCAGAGCCGCTGCGCATGGACACACAGCCCTTTGCCGTGTGTCTGTCCTTCCCCGACAGTCCCTCTCCATGTGTCTGTCCCTAACCAAGAGCTCTCCGTGCAAACGGCATCGCCACGGTCTGTGAGTGGCATCCCCTGAGCAGAGGGAAGGGGCAGCAGTGGGTAACGGGGGCTCTGTGAAGCCCCCCCCGACCCTAAAAGCAGGCAGAGTGCTATGGTGAAGAAAACAGTGCAGCGTCTGCCAAGACGAAAAGAGAAAAACAGGACGGAAAGAGAAAAACCTGGGAATGCTTGGCTTCGGCTGCAAGCACGCGTGAGGAGCGATGCAGACACTGTGACCACGGCTCAGCCAGTTTGTTCTGGCGGGGGGTTTCTGCTCTGTCCTGCATGAGCAGGGACCCGGAGCCGCACAGGTGATCTGCATTGCAGCTCGCTCACGGTTTGTTGTAAGCCGGGCTGTCAGCAGCACAAAGCAAACACGCTCAGAAGGAGCCTGCCAGGAGAAGACAGGCAGGAAGAGAGGCAGGCAGCGAGACCGCAGGCAGCCGGAGGCGAGGAGCGCCCTTCCCAGTCCTTGTCCCTTCCCTGGGCATCAGCTGCCCGGATCTGACAGCCGTGGCAGCGCCAAAGGACGATGTGAGCATCTCCAGGTGCAGCCTAAGCCTCTCCAGAGCAAAGAGCTGTGAGTTGAGAATGTCCATCCCAGGAGTTCACCTCGGGACCAGCCGCATTGACCTCTCCCTGGAGAACACCTCGCTGCAGTGCCCCAGGGCCACCAGCTTCAGTGTGTGTGTGTGGGGGGCGATCCTGCACCCCTATTTCCAGCAATTTCCCTCCCAGTTGCACTGGGCCAGACAGAGACCAGAAACACCACTGCCTTCTTGCCAGCCTTGAAGAGGGGAGATGCATGGGACACCCCAGAACTGACTAATCACAAGACCTGCAGTGGGGCTGGGGGTCTCTGCAGGAGGTTGGTGGGGTGGGCAGTGCTGATGTCACATCAGTTCTCCCCACCTCCAAACTCGGCACCTGGACAACCTGGTTCGGCTCTGTGTCATGGTCTCTGCCAGCACTGCAGTAGCAGGGGATGTACCTGGCACCCCCCTCTCCCTACCTATGTAGTTCATGATGAATCCTTGTCCCTTCCCAAAGATGAGCCCGGCAGGGTCCGAGTGGAACTGGATGGTGAGGTCGGGGCTGGAGGAGTAGAGCTTCTGGGGCCCGCTGCTGCCCACGTACTGCCCCAGGATGTGGGCCGTGAGCTCGTCCCCGTCATAAATAGTGAGGATGTCGCTGTTGGTGAGGTTCAGGCTGGAAGGAAGAGCTTGGTTACAGAGCAGCTAGGGTGGGGAGCCCAGGTGGGATGCGACAGCATCAGGTTCAAGGAGCAGCGAGGTGACTGCCTGCCCTGGCACTGCAGTGCAGCTAACCTGTCTGGTGACATGTCCCCATCGCTGTCTTCTTCCCTGTCCCCGTCCCATTATACATCCCCATCTCTGTCCTCATCCCCATCCGTGTCTTCACCCCTACCCATGTCGGGGAGCAGCGCGGTACGGAGCGGCCCCGGCGGGCGGCAGCGGCCGGGTCCCCGCGCTGGTGCCGGCGGCCAGCAGAGAGCAGTGGCGGCCCGCGGATGGCATCAACCACGGGGACGCGCACAGATGTCACCTCTCCCTGCTTGTGCCGGAAGGGACTGGGGGAGCAGGGGGTTGGGGCAGGGACCTCACGTCCTCCCCTTCCCCATGGGGCAGCGGGGAGCTGCAGGATGCTCCCAGCCCCGGGGGAGGAGTCTTCATCAGGTCTGAGACTGAAGGAGCTTTCCCAGCCAGGCCTGGGCTCCTACCCAGGGTCAGGATGCGTCTCAGGGTGCTGAGCACCCTCAGGGCCAGGATGTGCTCGGCCACTTGGGACCCCTGCTCCGCACATCGTGTTTGGAGACGCCTGAGCTGTTCCTCAAACGTTTTATTAGGAATGTTCTTGGAAGGCGCCTGGCTAATCCCCATGGCAAGCTGACATTTGTAGTAAATCTCTGCTTTCTGTCAAACGTGGTTTTCTCAGTGACATTTATGTCTGATGACTTCAAATCGCTTTGGCCTCCAGTTCTGCTCAGCCCCAGCACCCACAAAGCCAAGAGGGGCACCGGGAGCTCTGGCTTGGAATTTTTACAGAAAGCTCTAAAACCTTCATGACTCTAAGCCCCTACTTCAAATGCGCCCTCCTCTTGAACACCCAAAATAGCATCAAAGGAGATTCCCTTTGCATCGGCATTACCATGTCAAGGGCTCTCAGCATCGAATTCTGCACCTGAGCAGGCTGGCAGTCAGGAAGGGAACAGATGCATTTCGTCAAGACACCTTGGTCCCACGAGGAATGAAGGAGGGGAGGCTGGGCAGAGCCTTCCCCTGCCCGTCAGCCTCCCCTCAATCCCTTTCAAGCCCAAAAAGCCTGAGCTGAGGCAATGATTTGTACTCAGAGAGCATCAGTTGGGAATCACAGGGGATTAGGAAAGCTCCCAAGGGGAGAACAGGGAAGCAGCGCGGGTCCCTGGAGCAGGGATGCTGCAGCAAAGTGGGCTGAGAACTGGCAGGGCAGAGACATGCACAGAGGTCTGGGCTACTCACAGCTGGATGTCCAGGAAGAGCCGCTTCTCCTCGCCGACGTGGACCCTCCAGATGCAGTCCTCCCCCTCTGTGTAGGGCTCTGGCCAGTTGGGGGACAGGATCACTCCAGCCACTGCGGTCAGCTCCCCCCCACACATGGCTGTGGCGGTAAGAGGCAGGCAGGGTTAAGCTGGGGTCCCAGGAGGGTTCGTGCCCAGCACCACCCCATGGCACCAGGACTGACCTCGACACAGCGGCTCCGTGTCATTCCAGTATGGGTCCCGCATGTTGATGCACTCGATGACAGCTGGGCCCTGCTCCAGGGAGTGCCCGGGATCGCAGGTGAACTCCACAGTGGTGCCCAGGTTGTAGGTGGGGTCGGAGGTGGTGAAGTTCCCGTTCTGGATGTAGGGCTCGTAGCAGTGGCCCCGCTCAAAGGCTGGAAGAGAAACCCCCTCGTTAGCTACAGGATCACAGGGCTGCTCCCCACACCCTCAGATCTAGGTGTTTGCCAGATGAGCCCTGGATTTCCCCCATAGAAAAGCATCCCTCCATCCCTGCCGTGCACAGACAGCCTTTTCCATGGCATATTTTACAGCCAATTAGGATTAACAACAGTTTATCTGTCCTGAGCCACGCAGGCTTAACCAAACCCCACTTTCATTATGCACCAGCATCAGTAACACACGCACTGCGTTGCCGCTGCTGCGTTTGCTGAGCAATCCCCTCTGGGATTACTGCAAGTTACTGAGCTCGCTCAGAGGCGCGGGCTCCCGCAGGGCTGATCCCAATGCAGGCAGCAGGATCACTTCAATGGCAAATGGAGCAACTCCGTGTGAGCCACCCAGGGCTTGCTCAGTGTCGCTGAAGGAGCCACTGGTGGGGCCAAGTGGGCAAGCACTGGGATGAGGGCCGGAGCCAGGACAGCCCCTGTCCCTGTGGCTGGCATGGGATCGGTGCCACGCTAAGGGGACAAACTGGGCCTTTGGTGGTGATGGTCACCACAGGCACCAGTGGCCTTTGCAGCCTGGGTATGGAGGGGCCCCATCCTGGACACAAGCACCCACTGCCTGTCCCATGGCAGGCAGAGAAGATGAGTCCATGAACCTTTCTGTTGTAATCAATTAGATTTCACCATTTCTTTTCCTATTTCTGGCCAGGCAAATGAATCCCTCAAAGCTCCTCCAGCCCCAGGTGAGGCTTGAGTTGCCCTATGTACCTACAGTGACACGGGGACAGTGGCACAGCGGGCTAGAGACAGCCAACACCCTTCCCTCTTAATTCCCCAAATTTCCCAGGGCCTGGGAGCATTGGCTGAGGCCAACCTGCTGCCCTCAGGGGTACCAAAATGGGAAAGCATCACCTTCAAAGCGGATGTTGAAAGCGGTGGTGGCTGCAGGCTCCTCAGCGAGGAAGTCGATCCTGATGGAGGAGCCGTCACTGATCACCCCCTCGAAGGGGACGCTGTCGGCGCGCAGCGAGTCGTAGAGGATGGCAGACTGGTTTGTGTTCCCACTGTACACCACCATCCTGCACCGGAGGACACGGCATGTTATGTAGAGAAGTGCCCCTGAGCCCCCCAGAGAGCATCACCCGGCCCCCACTCCTCCTCCAGCACTCCTGGAATACGGCATTTTAAAGAAACTGCGAACAAAAATTCCCCAACCAGATAAGTCTCTTTTAGTGTGTCATAAACAGAGGCTTTATCCTCCGATTTTACTACAGGCCATAAACCTGCTTTACTGCCCGCTACCAGACTGAATGTTAATGCCGTTTAAACACCAGCATCGGCACCGTTTTGTGTTACGGATGCTGAGAGCGTGGGATTTGCACCGCAGCAATAAGCAGCACTGAGACCAGACAGCACCTCCCAAGCTTTGGTATATTCAGCACCCAAAGCTCCCCGGAGCCCCGGGGCGCAGCGAAAGGAGCTCCCGCGACCTCACCTGTCCTTCTCGGTCAGCAGGAGCTTCTCGAAGTGGAGGTGCAGCTTCTGGCCCGGGGGGGCGCCGATGGCCCACACGCAGTACATGCTGCCGGTCTGGTTCCCGGTGTAGCTGGGCGAGAGGACGCGGCCGATGGTGGCGTTGTGGACGGTCCCACCGCAGGGCGCTGCGGGCAGAGAACAGCCCGGCTGAGACCGCAGGGGACCGCAAGGCAAGGGCACCGCAAGGCATTTGCACCCGGGGCCGAGGGGATGAACCCACCGCTGCTGCTGCCCAGCTGCTCAAAGCGCTCCTTAACGCGTGACCCTCTCGCCTGGCTTTGGCTTTGCTTTATGCATACACGTATGTGCTTGCACGTACACATAAAATCTCTAATTTCTTTTCCCTTACTTAATTAGGAGGCAGATTCTTCTGCCACTGATGTGAAAACCACAGCAGCTTAGTTTCGGTGATTTTTTTGTGATTTCAGCGATCACAAAGCATCACTTTCGCTCCCTCCCAGCACCACATTCACCTCACAGTGCAAAGAAAGCAACCCCAATATATTTTTTTCTGTGGGGAATCCCAGTTTTTCTCAGCACGGAGGCCACTGAGGCACGTACCTGAGCAGATGGGCTCGGGGCTGCTCCAGTGAGGCTTCGAGGCGTTGATGCACGTCAGCACCCGCGGGCCCTGCAGCTCGTAGCCCAAGTGACAGTGAAAATGAGCGATGCCACCCGAGTGCAAATCCATCACCGTGACGTCCCCGAAGTCGGGTCTCCGTGGGAAGTTGCAGCTCAGCATAAACACTGCAAAAAGCACACACATGTCAGAGCTTGTCTGCTCCCCGCCACCCCGCTTTCCGGGATGAGGAGCACTGGGAACACGCTGCATGTGCCCACAGTGCCATGGACAGACCTCGCTGGTCCCAGAGCACCGGCAAAGCACCACGCTGCTGCTCCCCCACCTGTTACTGCTTTCGCCCAGACCCAGTTTCTATTTTAAAAAGAATTTGCTTGAACTCATCTATTTTTTATAACCCTTCAAAGGAGAAAAATAGACTTGCAGCCTGTGCAGGAAGAACTGCTGCATGGGGACAGAAACGGGGCAAGGTGGGTGCTCACCCCCACCCCAGCTGATGCTCTGAGCAGGGGGATGCGGTGAAACAGAGCCCAGCATCCTTCCACCCTCAACACCCCCTCCTCACACATTAGGGGGCACCCACCCTGGTAGTGGAGCTGGAAGGTCCCCACCACCTCATCCTGGAAGGTGCGAAAGTAGACGGAGATGGTGTTGGTGGGGCTGCGGATCACCTGGCCCTCCACCAGCAGGGTCTGGTTGGCCAGGACGACCAGGGCATCACCGTCCACGCCGCGGATGGAGAGCACCTCGCCGTCAGACAGGTTCACGCTCTTCACCTAAGTGGGAGCAAAGACCCATGAGCTGTGGGTGTGAAGGTGGGGGGCGTCCCGTTTGCATCTCAGCCCTGCACCCACAACCACAGAGCATCCCACAGCCGCAGAGCATCTTCCCGGCACAGCCTTCCCCCTGCACTGCTGCAAGCTTTTGGGGCTCACCGCAGATGGAAGCTGCTTGTTCAGCAGTGATGGGGCAGCCTATGCCCTGCACAAGCTCAGGGGACCCCCAGGATCTCTTCTCCCTCCCCAGGATGGGCGGCACAGGCAGCCAGAGTCGCTCACTGGAGTTGCATTTCAGAGCTGGATGCTCCTGTGCAGCACCAGTTGACCCACATCTACATCCTTGATGGAACTGGGGATGTGGGCAGGCGGGTGGAAGCGGAGAGGGTGAGACAGGGCTGCACAGCACAGCTCTGCACCCAAACCAGGGTATTTTGGTGCTCACCACCCACCCTGTGCACTAGGATCTCCCCAGGATCCCTCACCCGCACCAGGGAGCGGATGGGGACTCACATGGCAAACACATCTAATGAGCAGTCCCAAAAGGCTTTAATTATTATTTGGAAATAGCTGAAAAGTAACCTCACATTTGCATTTCACGTCCATTTAGCTTAATAAATAGGCTCATATTTCAGCAGAAAGATGCTCATCAGATCATTTGTTTCCTTAAGTGCGGGAGGACCAGGGCTCTATATTTAGTGCACACCACAGCCTCAGCCCGTAATTGCAAGCGCTCCCGAAGATGTTGTGACTGGAAGGGTTTGTTGCTGTTGTCACAGCCATGCCCATCTCCCCCACCCAGCGTATGAGAAGGGGACATGCCCGGCTCTGAGGGATGCTGCACTGTGCACAGAGCCACCCACAGCACTCAGCATCCTCCCATCTTCTGCTGGAAGAAACATTATTTCCTTGGGAGAAATGACCCCGACCCCACTGAGTAACTCCAGGAGGAGCTGATTTTGCCTTATTTTGCAGCAGGACACTGGGTCACTGCAGTCTCTGATCCTCACTGCAGGGAAAAGCAGCCCTTGGTCCTCAGGGGTGCTTCACAGCACGGTGGATACACGGGGTGAGTGCCTGTCCTGCACCCCAACCTGCCCCAGGTCATTTCTTCTTCCCCAGGTTTCGTCCTGAAAATGTGCACACATCACGCCTGGTGGGATGGCTCAGATCTAATTATTAATAAATGGGATGAATTCAGTGTTATTGGGGATGAATTATTTGGAGCACGGGATCCAGGGATGCTAAGTGGGCCACGTACAACGAGGCCCCAGCTCCCACTGGGGTAGAGTTCCGCTTCCTGAGCTGGGTCTGAATCCCTGCAAAGACATTTCCAGGGCATTTCTAGCATATTTTGTTCTGAAAAATCACTCGCAGACAAACCTGCTTCCTCCGGTGATGCCTAGCATCAAGCACGCTGTCTAGCACCGAATCACTCTGGGGAATGAGACATGTCCAGGAGTGCCCCCGAGCAGACAATTGCCTCCCAGCTCGAAGCACCCGCTGCTCTCCTCCAGCGCCAGGTAGGCAGCATCCCCGGAGGATTCTGTCTGCTCTGGAGCCACCGGCGGGCACAGGCGGATGCGGTGGCCTGGCGCCAGGGACCATCAGCCCCCGCGAACGGGGACCATCTGTGCCAGCTCCTGCCAGGGCTGGGAGGACAAGTTCTGACTTTAATCAAAGGCTGCACCGATGTCAGCTCCTAAAGAGTCTGTCGGGAAGACAGGAGGGATCCTTGGTGCCGACTGCCAGCCTCACTCACCCACTAGAAAAATTTCTTTAGGGAAATTCTATTTCCTGCCAAGAAGATTCAAGAATTTTAAAAATAAATATAATTTATCTAAACACTTGGAGAGCTGGCTGCTCTGCAGCTCCCAGGACTGTGGTGGCACAACCTGGTTGGCGCAGGGACAGACAGAGTGAGACATGGCTCTCTCTGGGATGCTGCAAGGGGTGTGGGGGGTGCCAGCAGAGACCCCAAGCTCTCCTACAGCCCTGGGCAGCCCCCAGCACCAAGCAGGTTTGCTGACAGCCCTTCCCGACACCGTGGCTGACAGATTTTCAGGACAGCCTTCTTCATGTCCAGTCTCCAGCAGGACCCGCTGAGACCACGCACCACTCATGACAGGGGAGAACACGAGGTCCCCATCCACCACAGAGCAATGCAGCTCCTGCCCAGCTCTGCTCCCCAGCCCAGTCTCCCCAAAACCAGCTTCCCCAGGCAGGTCAGACCTCCAGAGCTCCCAGTTCAGCACCAGCAAACCCGTATGGAAAAAGAAGCCCTCCATGAGTCATTCTTGCATCTCCCTGGTAGGAGAGCTCAGCCTCACCAAGCACAGTCTCCCCCACCTACCCCCATTACAGGAGCTGTGAATTAAACCCAAATCACTTAAATCTGAACCAATTATCCACCTCAGCTGAGGAAAGTGCACTGCATTACCTGACTGATGTAATTAGCCTGGGAGCCGCTGAAGCTGGCAGCGCTTGTACATGTGAAATAATTAAACAGGGATGGAAGAGAGTTCGTCAGCACCAGCAAAAAGAGGCAGAAGCAGTGAGGAGGGTGACACGTGTCCTATTTGGGTCAGGCATGGGCAACTCCCCAAAGTTCAAGCTGGGGACAGGCATAGAATGACGGCATCTGACTTGGTTTACAGGTCGGGAAACTGAGGCACAGTGCTGGGATAGTCCTTGGGACTTTCCCTGTGCATTGCCATGGCACCTGGGAGGGGAGGCAAGGGCTGGGGATAACCCAAATCCTGCGACTACTGATCCTTCTGACTACCCACATCCACTGCCTACCCTGGCAGCCCCAGGGCCCATCCCCCTGCAGCTCCCACCCGTGTCCATCCAGAGCAGGGCACCCCGGGCACCCCGGAGGCTGCACGGCGCACGCTCAGCCAGCGAGGACCCGCCGGCGTGATTTAATTTGCCTGAAATGCTCAGAAGCATCAGCAAAGTGAAATGCAAAGCTCGGGGGGGTGGAGAGGCTAATTTTCTGCTCCATTAAAATCGCAGCTTACAATGGAGCGAGGTCAGGAGCGGTGTCACCTGATGGATTATGGACGGGGGCTAATTTACAGCCTGTCTTCAGCACCCTGTGGATTTGGGGAGGCAGCGGGGGCCATGGGAGAGCGGGAGAGATGCGCTTTCCCAGGGTTCGCTCCAAGTCGTGCCATGGGGGTCAGCCCTCCGCGCCCATCAGAGGGACGACAGGGACAAGCTCACTGGAGCTACTCCTATTTTTAATGCACATCCTTAATTACACAGATCAAAAGTTAATGGATTTTAATTGGATGCAAACAGTGACATGGGGAAAACACAAGAATAAGGAAAGATTGCATGCTGGTGCGTGGAGACATGTCAACCAACCTGGCCGGGCTGTGGGATGTGGTGTTTCGGGGAGAGCTGCTCCAGCACATTTGGGCTGAAACCCCTCCTGTACTAAAACCCCTGCGCTGGTGGGTTTGCATGGCGGCAGCCCTGGCACACAGTTCCCTGCTCCCATCCATGCCAGCTCCCAGCATTTTGGGACCTTGCACCCCTGGGGCTGCCTGCAGGCTGGCCAGTGGGGGTAGAGGGCTGGTGGCTGCGCTGGAGACAGCGCTGCTGCTTGGCCCCTTCCCACCAGGGCCGAGTGCCTTTTTGTGCAAATTGCCTGCAAGCTCCTCGCTGTTAAATTAATTGCATGGCATTTCCATGCTTTGATCATCACTGACGTTCAGGATGTACCAGTTCCCTCGTACAGTTCATTTATTACATGCCCTAAAAAAAAAAATCGAGTTTTTTCCCTAGGAAGGGTGGTTTTTTTTAGCAAGTGCAGCCGTGCCCAGGGCCGTGGGTGCTTTGCATCCTTTGCTGTGCAGGGTGATCCCTCTCGCCCCGATGCGGCTCTCACCTGGAGCTCGACGCCGTAGCCGGTGTAGACGGTGACGTTGTAGGTGCACTCCAGGTGGCTGTGCAGGGGCAGGGGGGGGTAGTCCGTGGAGTCGATGTAGCCCTCAGGTTCGTGAAAGCTCACACTGCAGAGGACTGGAGGAAACACGCATCAGCCATTGTCCAGGGGGAACCTGACAGCCCTCTTCTGCACCCGGCTGCTCCCGTCGCCCCAAAACCCAGCACTTGGGTGCTCCTGCTGCCCCAAAACCCAGCACCCAGGTGTTCCCTTCACCCTAAAGCCCAGCACCCAGGTTCCTGCTCTGGCAGCCAACACTGCTAAA